GAGGGAGGGAGGGAGGGAAGGAGGGAAGGAGGAAGAGGAGGGGAGAGGAGGGGAGAGGAAGGGAGAGGAAGGGAGGGGAGGGGAGGAGAAGATAAGTAGAGACTGGCCATGAGTACATGGAGAGAGGGGGAAGGGGCAAGGGGACAGAGGGATCAAGAGATCAAGAGAGAGTAAAAGAGCAAGAGTGCAAGAGAGCAAGAGTGGGAGGAGGAGGCAAGCAGCCCCTTTTATAGTTGGTCTGACCTACCTGGCTGTTACCAGATAACTGTGGGGAGGAGCATACCTGGCTGTTACCAGGTTAACTGTGGGGGTTGAGTTTAGACAGAATGCTAACACTGCCAGCCCACATTAAAGGTGAATCTTCCCACTTCAAAATATGTGGATTAAAGGTATATCTTCCTATCTCAAAGATCTGGATTAGAAGTGATGTTTCTACTTTATGATTTAAGAAAATAAAAATCCCCTATTAGTGTGCTTAGCCATTTGCACTTTAGTTAATTCTATATGTAGCCAAGTTGACAACCAAGAATAACCATCACAGGTGGCTACTGAATTGTGTAAACAGAAAACTGTTGCCTTTTTGAGGTTATTTCTGATTGTTCCAGAAGGCTTCTCATTTAAATGTTTACCTCTTCTGAGGCACACTGTTCCAGCTCCTTCTCCTTCTTGTGTTTGGAAACACCCAGCTATGTCACTAAATGCAGAAGACCTGGGTTTGTTTGTGAGTAGACTGCAGAGTCAGTGTAGTCTTGGAGTGTTTGGAGGACAGAAAGAAGCTATGTCTCTTGCATTTTTTCTTTCTCTCAGGACAGTGGCTATGTTGGACTGTAATTTTAAGGTTACTTAGTAGAAATGTCCCCAGAGTTTAGGGGTGAGATTTAAGTGTGTGTATGTTTTCCTTGCCTTAATTTTTTTTTTAATGTATGTTTTAAGATAGACATGGTTGCACACTCCTGCAGAGGCAGAAAGATTGTGATTTCACTGCCCTCCTAGGCCGTATAATAAGACCATCTCAAAAACTGAAAATTAAGTGAAAGAATGCATAGGTATAGTATTTGAAAATGGCGTCATTACTTTGTGTCCCATTTTCTGTGAGAGCAGTGTTCATAGTTGCAGCAACAAGATGTAGGACTGATTGTGGCCATCCTGCTGTGTCTCAGAGGTCTTCCTGATGGATAAAAGTCACGGAGTTGAGTAGCTGAGGACAAGGAGTTCCCTACCCACTCTAAAACCATTTTTGATGTAGTTAGAACCTTCATACACAGATTCCTGGCTATCTGCTGGGAAACCACTGCAGATACCAAAGTGCACAAATGCTGTTCTCTTTTGTACAACAGGGTACTACTTGTATGTCACTAGTGCATGTTCTCCTAAGTGTGCTCAAGTATGTCTAGATGCCTTCATGGCCTAATACACTGTAAATACTATTCAGAAGACTGTTACACTGTGTTGTCAGGAAATAATAATAAGAAAGAGTCTGTATGTGTTTAGTACAAATGGGGGAGTTTTTTTGGCCTTAATTATTTTATCCCATATATATTTGAACTCATGAACATAGACACCTTGAACTGGATGCATGTGTGCATATATGTGCCCATATAAGTGTATACTATAAACTATCTGAATTTTAGGTCTCTATATCTATTTATATCTGTTGATTCAGAGTGATGTGAAGGTTCTCACTCACCTTTGGCCTATGACATTTATTGGGGACACTGGCTGTGACTCTGCTTGGTCTTTTCAGAGAGGAGCATACTGTGTTTGGCATGACATTCCCGTTTAGGTAATAGCCTAACAGTGTGGTGACATGGGAAATTGTTCTTCTAATCTTTATGCAGATTTCTTCCCTAAGTTAATTTCTGAGGTGACAGATGTTTGTAGAGTTGGGAGTAAGACAGAGGCACTGCTGGACATGAGACAGATTACTTAGAGAACAGTCTGTGGCATCTGGTCACCTTCCAAAGTCTTAGAAAATGAGGTTGTGCCCCTGGGGCTCCTAAGCATCCCCTGGAGCAGTTAGCCTGGCTTTTCTGGGCTCCACTTAGTTAGTTTCTCTGCATCATTAGATTGTTGACCACCATGTTGGCTGATTAACATGTTAAAAAACTTTTCTAGAAATTGGAAAAAAATGACAGCAAGGTAACAACAAATACTCCTTAAAATGAGCCTGGTTTTTCATGGAGATGTTCTGCTAGCTCTTCCTCTTCCCTTTTTCCTAGCTCCAGGCTTTTCCACAGCCTCCTCTTTCTATTCTTCCTTCTACTTCTCCCTGTCCCCCCCCCCCCCCATCCTTCTTTTTCCTCCGCTCCTTGTTTTTTGAGACAGGGTCTTACAGACCTGGGTTGCCTGGAACTTTCTGTGGAGACCATCCTGCCCTCAAACTTAAATAGTTTCTGCTTCATCCTTGTAAGTGTTAGGCTTAAGCATGAGATGTCATGTTTACCTTGGCAACTCCTGGGACTTTAAAAGACAGCATCATTTCTATAGGAGACAGTTGTGAGCTCTCTGGGCTCACAGGGTAGGAAGTGTGGATGTTGTATGGCCTCAATGTCCCTTTCCTGATGGGACTGCAATATTTTGGGTTTTCTGTTTTAAATATTTTATATACAAATAGTAAAATAACTTGGACATGAAACCTATGTTGACATTCTAATGTTTTGTGTCTCAGGTGTACCTGTAAGCACAGGCTGAAAGTTGTCTGTTTAGTATCTTTAGTCTACTTGTA